CATAGGGAAAAAGTCCAGAAGCAGGACGGCGCTTGCACTTGGGCGAACAAGGGTTAAGAGGGGGGTTAGGACTGCAGCGTCTGATTAATTGAAGTGCGAGTTTCGGCGAAATGCGAAAACGAAAAGAAACGAAAAACGAAAGCGCCGCCAAATTACATTTTCCCCAGCTCACATCCCATTTTTCAGATCCCTCGCACCACATCTAACCCCCTTTTCAAAGCCCCCCCTTACTACGCCCCACGCCCCCTTTTTACAACCGCAAGTTGCCCGAGCTTTGCTCGCCTTTCTTGTTGTTTTTACTTTCCCTGTCTCTTTCTCCCGCCCCCTATGCCCGTCTCTTTCCCATTTTTTGTATACCCCTCTCTGTCTGCGCCCATGTCCTGGTACATTTAAAGGAATTTTTTTGTACTTTTCCTTCCCTTTTTTTTCTGCCTCGTTCTTGCGCCCATGCACTTATTTTGTCAAATGCAAATATAGACGTTTATATATCTCTATATATATATATATAGATATTTACATATTCCAGACAGACAGAAAAAGAAGTATAGCCGAAAAATACCAAATAAAAAAAGACAAGGGAAAACTTGTTGAGGAAATCTAAAAATTTTGTTTAATTTGCTGCACTTTTTTCGTCAGACAATCCAGCCGGGCGTATGCGTAATATTTTTGTTATATGTATGTAGTTCTTTTTATATTGGCCATTTGCCGTCTGGATTATATTGATTTGTCTAGACTACGGCAAGCCAAGCGCCAAAAATCGGGTTGGGGAAAGCTGATACGGCTTGGGTATAGAATATCCCATATTTTTATGGGGCTTTCGGCACTAAAAAAAATATGAGCATTATTTTTTCATATTTACCAATGATTGGTAAGGTTTTCAGTGCATGTTTTTAATAAATATATGGAATAAATATGTAAATATGTAAATAGCTTCTGCCAATCTATAATCATATTATATGATTTATATTATATTGAGAATTTAATAAAAATATTAGCCTAGTTTAAAAATATTAGACAAAATATATTGGTATTTATGCAGTTTATAACTACTTTAATATATCTTTTCCACTATTATTTATTTAGGGTTATTATATTTATATTAATATATAAATATGAGAAAATAGCCTCTGTTAATTTAAATTAATTTTAAATTCTCTATATTTTATTTTGTAATTTTATATAAATATTAACTTAATTTAAATACCTAGTAACTACTATATTTCAGTATTAATGCAGTTTATAACTTCATTTATTTTCTTATTTCCTCTACTATTTGTTTTAGGTTCTTTAAAAAAACCCACTCATAATTTTTTGTTGCCGCTCATTAAAAAACGTGTTCAAAATTTAAATACAACAGGTGAAACTGTGTAGCACATTTGCAATTTTTCAGAACATTAACCGCCATTAATCAATGGTTGCCCAACCCAACAAACAATTACCAGCACTTAAGTATTTTGGGCTCCAAGGAACCCTCTCATACCTTGCACTTTTTTTGCACTTTTTGCACTGTTTTTAGCACTTTTTTTTTGTGTACCTTTTGGGCCATTTCAATTAATTCTGCTCATTTATTCGAGAGAGAATCCATCCGCCAACAATGTTGCACCTTATTCAATTGCCGCCAAGTGCAAAACAAAAAAAAAATATAAAAAAGATGCACAAACAAACAAAAAAAACGCACGCAAGCCATTAAAAAACGAAACAAAACAGGCTGACTTGGGGCACTTAAAACACCCGAGACCCCATAATGAGTTAATAATTTCAGCCGCTGGCAAGTCGACCGGCAGTTGCTCATTAGTTGCACTCACAGAGGCACTCACACTCGCCGCAAATAATTAGAAAAAAAAACCCACAAGCGAAAACTGTTGCACATAAATGCAAAAAAAAAAATACCAGAAAATAAAAACAAATCGCACACAAAAGGCAACGCAATTACGCGAATTGTAATGGATTTTTTTTTTTTTTGCCAACCAAAAAGGTAACTGAAAATGAACGTTTAGAATATTCCTATAAAAATCATTTCAATCAACCTGGTTGCGCCTGCGCTTTGCAAAAGAAAAAAAAAATGTTAATATTTCGAAAGTCAAAATCAGGGAAACCATAAAAACGGCTCTCAAAAGCCCCCCGCCAAGTGCAATGGGAATCGTATTCCTAGGGACCCCCATTTCTTATAAATATTTATAATCGCGATAAAGCCGGAGAGACAGCGATGGGAATGGGGATAAAACTAAGTAGCCAAGAAGCTCGACAGTGCGTTTCGGCTTGTTAAGGCTAGGTAATGTATTTCAATCAGCGAACAAAGTTAGTCGGAAAAAAACATTACTTAAAATGAAGAGAGGAAAGACATTGTATTATTCGAGAATTTTTAAATATTTACATAGGAGTATTTATAATCCCATATTTTTTAGGGCTCTGTATCTTCACTTTGCGATCTATTTTTTAATAAAAGAAAATAGTTGAGTAATCCTTACATAAAGTTTAAAGTTCTTAGTTTATTCTAGAAGTTTTTGATTGGAATCTTATCATTTTAATAGATATTACTATCTTCTGGATATTTTTCACATAAAAAGCATGCTATCAACAAAAATAATATAGTCTAAAAAAAAACTAGAGAGTTAGAAAAATATAACTAAAATTCAAGAGAGCAAACTTTATATTATTCGATTAATATTAAATATTTACTTAAGAGTATTTATATACCCATATTTAACTTCATTTTGCTAGGCTTTCTTAAGATACAAATAGTTCTATAATCTTCACAAAAAATCTAAAAAGTTTAGTTTATTCTTTGGGTCTTAAATAAAAAAAAGGTTAATAAATCTATCTACCTGCTTGATATTTTTCATAAAATAATCATGATTAGCTAAGCTAAAAAAACGGTTTAGATGGCGCCTCTGGTGGCGCCGGAAGTCCAGAAACCGTTTCTTCCCGGTTCTATTTGCCGGCGACTTCTACAACTGACCCAGCACTTAGTTAACGCTTTTCTTTTTGCCAATTTATTGATTGGCTTATTCTTTACTTTTTTTTCTGTCGATTTGGGCATTTCTTCGTTTTTTTTTTGCCCCTTGTTGTGGCCCAGAAAAATGCATTTCCATTTCACATATTTGATAACATTCAGCAAATTTCTCTAAAAGCGCATCCGGTTCAAACGGGAAGTGCCACAGTCATCGCCAAAAGAGAGGTTGATAAAAAAAATAAAGAGGAATGGGCCACAAAATATAGAAAAACTGTTTCGTGGATTATAAAATTCCTTATAAAACTATACAACTTAGATTCACATTACTTAAAAAATTTTCCACAGTCAGTAAACATATTTTAATTTTATTTTAATCGATTCGTTTAGATTCTTAGGTTTTTCCTCCTTTGAAATACTTTGAAATACAGTCATATAAAGATTAATAAAAATAATAGAAATCAACTTACTTGATAAAAAATACTATAATACTTCTATCAAATGAATTGAATGCCCATTTTTCAAGGGCTTTATAAGAAAATGTCTTATTTTAAAGCTTTTAGATTTTATTTCTTACATTTATTTACTAATAGTTGCCCATTTATTCTAGGGCCTTATAATAAAAAGTCTTTTTTAATATGCCATCAAAAGCTATACCAATTCGATATTTAGTTTTTTAAATGCACAATCTACGTGTTTTTAATAATAAAAGTTTTTATATTTTATTTTATAAATTTATTCAAGGGCTTGATGAGAAATAGTCTTGTACAATATGCCACCGTAAGCCATAAAAATTGAATTTCCTCTTATTTTAAAAACACAAATTACCTCTTTTTTTATTCAAAGCTTTTATATATTATTTTCTGTATATTTAGTTACCTATAGTTGCAATTTTTCTGATACTTCCCAAGTGTTAAACAATTTTGGCCAAACAAGTTTTTGTCTAACACTTTCCTTTCCTCTCACTTCACACTTTTGCTAAAAACGTTTATGGCCAAATTCGAACCGAAGAGAAATAAACCAACTTAACACTTTTATTATCAAGTAGCACTTTGTGTCCGATTTTTAACCCACGCCAAAAAAAAAAACACTTGATACCATAATATCGAGAGGAAGTGCGAAATAAATGGTTTAAAAAATGGTGTTCAAAAGAAATAGTAGAAATAGTAAGAAAATAGTAAGAAATAGTTAACTTACCATAAACGCCAAACACCGCAGTTTCAAAACGTTGTTCTCGTTCTTGTTGTTGGTGTGTTTGTTGTTGTAGTTGTTGTTGTGGTTGTTGGTGTTTTGGATGAATTTCTTATGGTTGTTGTTGCACTTGCTGTTTGCATTGAATTAAATTTGACTTTTCTTTGATGTTGTTGTTGTTTATTTCCACTTTCCTTTTGTTGTTGCTGTTTTTTCTCACTTGGAAAAAATTGTTGTAATTTTGTTGAAATAAAAATTAAGGTGCAAAATAGGAGAAGTTTCCTTTAACACAACCTTAGAGCATGTTTTTTATGTGGCTTGCGTTTTTAGTTAAATGAAATTGTATGTTTTTTTTTTTTTGAAGATGGACAAAAAAAAACACAAAATAATTGTGCGGGGAGCGCGCGGGGGGAGGGGGTGTTCTTTTATTTTAGGCTTTTGTTTGATTTCGAAAAATGCTCCAAGTCCAAAAAGTTGTTGTAAGTTTTTCTAAAGTTTTTAGCTTCTGGTTGTTCACACACACACACGTGGAAAGCCGCCTTGAGTTGTTGTTGTTGCATTTGGTTGTTGTGGTTGTTGTTGTTGCTGCTGCTGGTGTTGTTGTTGTTGTTGTTGCTGTTGCTGTTGTTGTTGTTGTTGCTGCTGTAGTTGTTGCCTCTGTTGTAGGTGTAGTTGTTGTGGTTGTTGCATTGTTGAAATACAAAAAAATTACGCTTAAGGATTTTCTTGCTTCTCTTGTTGTTGTTGTTGTTGTTGTGGTTGTTGTTGACTTTTTTTAAAAACTTTTCGCTGTTATTCTTCTTTTTTTGTAATATTTTGTTATTTAATAATAATATATTTATAAAACATTTTTGTTATGTTTGAGTTTATGCCTGGGAAAAATATAAGAAACTTGTGTTAGAACCGAGGCACTTGAAAAAAAATTCAAAAAAAAATTTTGAGGCGAAAGTGAAAAAGACAATGAAGAAATCTGGAGATTGAAAAAAAGGTTTTTAAAAAACACACACAATACGGTAAACGCGCGCGTTATAAGTTTAGAAAAAAAAGGAGAGAATGGTAGATAAACCAAATATTTTTTAGTAAATATCCCTGGAATTTAGGAATATTTCTGCTATTATTATTATTATTTCTTGTAATATTTCTGGCTAGGGCTAACGAAAATAAACACGAACGAACGTATGAAAGTGTCTGCAAGAACTGCAATCGCATCGCGTGTGAAATCTCTGCGAAAGTCCAAAGCCGACAGAGCTGGAAACCAAAAAGCCTGGCCAAAAGCCCAAAAAAAAGCAACCAAAGAGCATTGGCGTCGGCAGCGCGGCGGCAGCGCAGCGGCAGCGATGCTTCGTTTTGCCGAGTGATTCCCCTTTGTCTATGTATGCGAATGCCCCCGTGCATCGGTGTGTGTGCGTGTGTGCTAAGAGCGCCGCACGCGCTTCGCAAAAGAGCAGCATTGCGAAAAAACGCAGCGAAACTGAGTTGAGCCAAAGTGCAGTGCTCATTTTCGCATTCGAGTCACATTTCTCTTTCACTCAATCGCAGAAAGTGCATGCTCTCTTCGGGTCGCTCTCTTCGCAGTGGACAACGCGGCGTATGCGTAATCTAAGCGAATGCAACATATCATTCAGAAACACACACGCACACATTCACACACACACACACCGTCTGCCATATGTTTCGCCTTTCTTTTGCGGACTTTCTTTTGACCAAAAAAAAGGGTAAAAAATATCCAAGTGCATTTAGTTCTTGATAATAATCCTTAAAGGTCATACTAGCATAATTTTGTAATTTTCATGTTTTTAATGTCTCTCAAAAATGGTAATTTATTATCATATTTTATTATTTTTTTTAACACTATTCAAGCAATAACAAAAAACTATAGTTTATTTTTTAACAATAATCTTCTTTATATCTTAAAAATGGCATATTTATATCTTTCAAATGAAAATATCTTTCAATTTCGCTCTATAATACAAATAAAAAAAATAAGAACTTCATAATTTGGTCCTTGCAATTGTAAACACATTACTTTTTGGTTTAAAAAAACCCCAATCAAAATATAAATAATACTTATTTATCATATTTGAAAATTCTTTTTTGGTAAGGTTTTATGGAACTAAAATTTTGTTAAAATCAAAAACACTATGAAGGAAAAATAAATGCCTTTTTTTCATTGAAAATAAACATGAACTAGACATCATAACTATCATAACTCGAAATAAATAGATCCATTTATAATTTATTCATATATTTTAAGATTAAAATTTAACCTATATGTTTTTCCTATTAACATAAATTGTAAATATTTTTAAGACACTGTGAACTGGCTTTCTAATATGCACTTAAATGCAGCTCAAAATAAGTTTAGCAACAGCTATACAAAAATCCGTCGGCAAATTCTAATCTGGCTTTTTGACTGTCTTGAGTTCAGTTCTTTCATGCTCTTTGAATACAAAATCGCACATATCTACACACTCCTTTTAAATGATCCTTTCCATATTTTTTTAAGGGGTTTTAGACAACACTACAAACATATGTACTTTTACAACACTATCAAACAGTACTTGTAAAACACAACAATTACAAAGTTAAAATAAGCCTTCAAATAAAGTTTTTAAAATGATATGTGCAACACAAATTATTTTTGGATGGTTTTAGGAATGTTTTGCGATGATAGTTATAAGACTTTTAAATGATCCCTAGAAAACACAAAATTTCCCTTTAAAAATAATATTTTCTGATTAATGCGTCCTTTGGGTTTTTTGGTAAACACTGCCAAGTGATCCTTTGAAAACACATAGTACAAAAATCCTTTTACATATTCAACTATATTTTGGAATAAAACATGTTGTCCTTTTAGCGGTTTTGATAGGCACACTTTTTCATAAACACTTTTATAGGAAACAGCTTTTTCTTTGTGAAAATTAAAAATTGTTAGGGCTGTTTTCACACTTGTAAAATATTTTTTTGATACAAAAAAAATAGTGAGCACTGGAAAAAAATATGTTTTTACGCGGCGCGTTAAGAGATTTTTAACTGGGATATTTTAGAGGGAAATTTGAGGGGGGAAATTTTTGAAAAGGGATATTTTTGAAATTACTTTCGACGCAGGAAAAAGGTATGAATGATTTATTTTTTTTTTTGAATGGTGTTTTGGGTGTTGAGTTGTGGTGGTGTTGCTGTTGTTGCCGCTGTCGTTGTTGCAGGTGGCTGTTGTTGTTGTTGTTTTTGTTGTTGTTGTTGCAGGTTGTTGTGTTGCAGTTGCAGCTAGTGGGTGTGTTTGGTGTGTTTGATGTGTGTGTTTTTGTTAGCCGAGACAGAGAGAGAGCTGTAGCTTTTCTTCCGCGGACTGCGTACGTGCGCGACAACGTGCGGATCTGTTATGATTCAATACGTTTTCGATACGTTTCGTTTACGTTGCCGGACCGCCGATGACGACAACAGCAGCGGCAGCGCAGCAGCAGCGCCAGCAGCAGCAGCACACTCACACACTTGCACACACACTCACTCACACACACTCACTCACACACGGAATGCAAAAAAGAACGCAAAAAAAACGACTGAAGAAGCGGTCGCAACTTCACTCGAATTCGCGAGTGAAAACTTCGCCAAAAGAGCGAAAAGGCCGAAAAAAGAGTGACTATGGAAAAAAAACGCATTGCATGTGTGCGAGCTGCGACGTCGACGCCGGCAGCGACGCCAGCAGCGGCCGCAGCCACTCTTGCAGTTCGCGAATTTCTCTCTCTTTTGGCCTTCAGAGAAGCCACTTTTTCGGCCCAAAGAGAGAGGGCCCAGAACTCTGGCCAAGATTGAGTGGAAGTCAGCCACGAACTATTTCAAGATCAATGTGACTTGGCAAGGGAGACGGGAAATCTTTTTAGCCACATTTTCCAGGATGTGTTTTTTGGGTTTTTTTTTGGGCATACGAAAATACCCATCAAAAATCTCTTTGAAAATTATTTCAAAGAATTTTTTAAGTATTAATTTATGTTTTAAGTTCTAAGGATTTTTCGAGGGAATATTTGTAGGACTGTTTTATAAAATATTTGGCGGACTTTAAAGATTTTTTAAATTACTTTAAAAAAATAGTTCTGATTTATCTGTATTAGTTAAAATTAAAAAGTCTTAAGTTTTAACAAAGCTTTAATTTATAAGATCAAAATATATATGTATGTATTAAAAATTTTTTCAAAAACATATTACAAACACATCTCAAATCTATTAATATCATTTATAATACAACCTTTTTGAAGCTTTCACATATTTTTTAAGGACTTTTCAGAATTTTAGAAAACTACTCAACGTATTCCAACCAAAAAAATTTTTTAATTAGGTCTAATAAAATTATAAATGTTATGATTGTAAAATAAAGGGTGTTATTAGATTTTTCCAGGTTATTTAAAATGTTCTTTTAATATTTTTAAACATTTTGGGCTTACTAACCCATAAGAGAAAAATTTAACATTTTTTAAAAATGATTTTATAACTAAGCAAAAAAAAAATCCTTTAATCACTCTTGATAAAAAAACAGAAATTTTAGAATAATATAATGAATGAATAAATTTTTATTATTTTTAATATTAATAATAATAATATTTTTTCGAACTGCAAATTGGAATACTTGGGTCTTGAAGGAAATGGAAACCTCAAACTTTATATCAAAGGAAGTGATTTAAGATCCATATAGTAATCATAAATTTAAATTAAATTGTACATGTAATCGATTGAAATAACTTATTTTTAAAGAGAAACAAATCAATCCAATCAAAAAACGAAATTAAAACGAAATGTGAATAATCTAAAAATAATTTATAGTTTTTGGTACCAATTAAAGGATCTACAAACGCAATTGTTGGAAACTTGATGACGTTCCTGAATTGGATTTTTGCAAAAAAAAAAATTAACTAAAAAATGTATGTACACAACTGGCTTCTATTTGGTTGTAAGATATTTAAGCCAGATAAGAATATTGTTCCGTTGGCAAATTAAAACTGTTTAATTACACAATTGCATGAAAAAAAATGGTTTTAAGCACATAATTTCAAACCATTTCACTAGTATTTTTTAAATTAAATTTGTTTAAATAAATTAACAAAAATAGACACTTTTTGTAGAGCGAAAGAGAGAGTGGTGAAAGAGAGGGGGGAGAAAGAGGGGGGTAAGAGAGTTTTGCGTGGATGATCGCATTAAAAAATTTTGCAATGATTTGCTTTTCTATTTCTTTTTCGAAGCACTTGAAAAAAAAGTTGAGCTGAATTTAAGAACGATTTATGGGGTATTTTTTAAAATATTTTTCCAGTTAATTTTTTATATTTTTTATGTCGATTTTCTGCGTTTTTGCGAACTTTTTGCGATTTGTAGCGATTTTTAGCGCTTTTGCACTCACACACCAAGCGACGAGGAGCAAACGATACAGCCGAATGAACGGACCAACTGGCGACTGCGGCGGGGCAACAACGACAACAAGCGGCGGCGGCGACGTCGGCAGCGACGCCGGCAGAGCGCTCCAAACAAAAGCAAACAAAATGAGAAAAAAAGTTCGCAAAAAAAAAGGAAAACAAAAAAAATTGGCAACCAAGAAACTACACACACACGCACACAAATGCTAGCTGCATTGGTCAGAGTTTCGCCAGCAGAGAGAGAGAGAGAGAAAAAGAGGGAAAATCAGTAAGAGTAAGAGAGAGAGGGCCAGAGAGATCGCGAATTTTTTGCCCATCTAAAATGTTGCCCGCAACATGTTGCCAACAGCACACACACACACAAAGAGCATTGAATTCTTCGTTTTTGCAAATTCTCTTTTGTTGCGAATTTCTTTTTTGCCGTTTTATCAGCTCCCGCACACAAATACACCTGCGTGGCCGCTCTCTCTCTGGCTGTTCCCCCCTTTCCCCCTCTCACTCTTTCACTCATCGAGAGATCCGCTTTACTTTTTTCTTTTTTTTTTGCTTAGAATTTGCACACATGGAAGCTTGGCGAAAAAAAAACACATAAATTAAGTGAGCAAAAAAAATGCGGGGAAGAAGCAGCACCAAAAGATAACTCAACAAGCTTTGGCTTTGCAAAAAAAGAAATAGAAATAAAAATAAATATAAAAAAGAATTGAGTGGCACTAAGTTGATTCGCAAAAAATTTTTGCGCGCTTTTTTGGGGAAATAGATGGTTCGGTTCTGTTGAGTGATTAATCACATTTCTTTTTCGCAGATCGCACTTGCAGTTTAACAAGCATTAAACACTGTTAAAAAATACTTAGGTGTTTTATAAAAGATCACTTAACAAAAAAAGGAAGGAGAACATGCTAAAATCTAAAATAAAAACCAACAAAATTAAAAGTTTTCATGTTAAACAGACAAATTTAATATAAATTATGGAGTAATAAATATTTTTTTAACATTTTACTGCTTAGAAATTTTTTAAATGCTACAAAAATACATTTACTCCATAAAGATACAAATTCTGGTCTAATAGAAATACCAACAATAATATTTTGAATAAAAAAATTCGACATTTATAAAATGTTATTACATTTCTTTGTAAAAATTTAATATTTAAGGAATTTTGTTACATGTTTTGTAATTTTTTCTTAAAATGTAAGATTGATTCGATTTTTTTTTATCGTGTAAAGCAACCTACAACATTACAAACCAAAAAAATCTGTTTTTAATTTAAGCCTTCGTAGAAAGTTTGTATTAAATAATTTTACATTTATAAAATGTTAGTAC